TCACACTGGGCAGCTTCCAGCCAGCTGGAACCTCACCAGTGAGCCAGGGCTGCTGGTAAATGATGGGGAGCGGCTTCCCAAGCTCATCTGCCAGCTCCCTCATCCCCCTGGGGTGGATCCCATCTGGGCCCACGGATTTATGAACATCCATCAGCTCAGCAGTTCTCTGGCTGCCTCCCCCGGGAGAACAGGGCCCATTCTGCTCCCTGACACCATCTACCAGCCCAGGAGGACACTTGTGCTGAGGACAAGCCCTCTTCCCACTGAAGGCTGAGGCAAAGAAGGCACTGAGCACCTCTGCCTTCTGGTCACCCGCAGTTACTAAGTTCCCTCCTGCATCCAAAAGAGAACAAGAACTGGTCTTACCCTTGCTTTTACCATCAATACATGTGTAAAAACATTTTTTATTATCCTTTACAAAAGTTGCCAGATTAAGTTCAAACTGAGCTTTGGTCTCCCTAATTTTTTTCCTACCTACCCTAGCAACCCCCTTAAATACTTCCTGAGAAACCTGACCCTCCTTCCAAAGCTGATACATCCTCCTTTTATTCCTAAGTTCCTTCAAAACCTTGTTGCCCATGCAGGCTACACGTTTGCCTCATTGACTCATCTTTGGGCACACAGGGACAGGCTGTTCCTGTGCCCTCAAGATCTCTGGTTTGAAGCATGCCACCTTTCCTGGACTCCTTTGGTTTTAAGGGCTGCTTCCCAAGGAACTTTCTGACTAAGTCTCCTAACTAGGTCAAAGTCTGCGCTCCAGAAGTCTAATGTAAAAGTTTTATTGATGTTCCTCCAGCTACCACCAAATATCGAGAACACTGTGATATCATGATCACCATGGCACAGGAGGCCCCCAACCAGCACAGCTCCCGCCAGCCCATCTCCATTTACGAACAACAGCTAACAAAGTCCCTTCCCTGGCAGGCTCCCTAACTCATGCTCAGGCAATGCCCTGTTCCAGCTGTGCGGAGTTTCCCCTCATTTCTCAAACTCGGTCTCGCTGCCAAAATCTCCCCCGCGCTGCAGCTCTCGCCAACTTCCACCCCGGGACTCCACCCGGTGCCGTGATTGCCGCTTCCCCGTGCGCTGCTTGGCCAAAAGCCAGACTCCCATCCCACCCCAAAAGGAGAGATCATAAATAGGGGTCGGTGCCGCACCCGCCGCGTTCGAGTCCCTGCGGAGCGGCGACGGCACCGGAGCCCGGCGGGGCGGCGGCGGAGCTCGGAGGCGGCTCCGGCCCAGGTGGGACCCGCGGTCGGTCGTGCCCCAGCTCGGGGCTCGCTGCGGGCTGGGGCCGCTGCTCGGGCGGGACGTGTCCGTGCCCGGCTCGGGGCTGCCGCGGGATGAAGCTGAACGTGCCTCAGAGCCCGAAGCGCTGCGGGCGCCGAGCGGGGGCAGAAAGCGCCGCACGCTGCCCGCTCCGGGCCGAGGCTTCTCGGCGCTGCCCTCTGTGCCAGGAGCCGCTTCACGGCCACGGGCAGGGAGCCAGAGCGGCTGTGCCGCCCGGAGCTGGGCTGCAGCGGCTGCAGAGCCACAGGGGCCGGGGCTGCGGGGAGCGCAGAGCTCCCGGAGGCTGCGCTTGTCTCCGCAGCTGCTGCCGCAGCTCTGGGAGCGGGGACAGCGCAGCCAGAGCCGGCACCGCCCTGCTGAGCCTCGGTGTGCCGCGGGGCCGGGACCAGCAGCGACCTCGCATCGTGTCCCTTTCAGGGTGCCATCACCGCCGGTGTAAAGCTGTTCCCGAGGCGATCTCCGAGAGGCTTTGTCAGCACTCCTGATGTCTCGGGAATAAGGTGCTGTGTGCTCCAGGCAGAGAGTTGAGGGCTGTGAGCTGGAGGAGAGTGAATTCTGCTCTGTTCATGAGCTGCAGAAGGCACCAATGGAGAATAAAACAGCAATCAGCAATGTCCTGAAAAGGAACCTCAGAAGATTCCTGGGTGAGTGCAGGGCCACCCCTGTGGCGTCTAGAGAGGGGACAGTGTCACCTCCCAGGGCCAGGGCTGGCAGGTGTGTGGCTGTTTCCCGATGTCTGGAAGAGGCCTCGAGCTCTGCTGGGCCCCAGCAGTGGCTGGAACCAAGACCCCAGCTGCCCCCAAGGCTGTGCAGGTCTCCTGCTGCAGCCTGTGCCCACAGCTGTGTCCCTGGCTGTCCCCACAGCTGTGTCCCTGGCTGTCCCCACAGCTGTGTCCCTGCCTGTGCCCAGCTCTTGGCTCTCTGGCTGCCAGCTGAGTGAGGGGCACAGTGGCTGAGGGGTCCCTCCTGTGCTCCCTGGGCACGGGGTGAGCAGATTGCAGGGCCGGGTCTGGCTCTGGCAGCCAGCAGCTCTTTCCTGCTCCAGGTGAATGGTTCGGCTCCCATGCCGTGCTCACGGCGGTGCTGATTCTGCTGCTCCTGGTGCTGGTGCTGGCTTTGGGGGTGGCCTTGGCTGTGCAGTCAGGTAAGGGAGGGGCAGCAGGCTGGGCCCAGCCCCTCAGGGCAGAGCGGGGTCCCTGCTCCCTGCAGAGGGGAATCCTCAGACCTTCTCCTCTTCCCCCTCCAGCACCACAGGTTCCAGTCACACCTGCGACTCCACAGTTGGTTCTGGGCTGTCCCCATGGCTGGGTTGGGTCCAATGGGGTCTGCTACTACTTGTCAAGGGATTCCAGGAGCTGGGAGCAGGCTCAGGAACGGTGCTCCGAGCTCGGGGCCTCCCTGGCCATTCTCAAGGATGAGGCCATGGTGAGTGAGGGGCTGCGGGCGGTGTGGGGTGGCTGAGGGGAGCCTGGGGGTGCTCCTGGGCCGGGCTGGGTGCTCGTAGGGCTGGGGGTGCAGCCCTGTGCCGGGGCCTTGCAGGGAAGGAGCCCCGGCGTGCGGGGGCAGCCCCGGGCCCGTGTCCCCCCGAGGGGCCGGGGCAGCTCCCACTCCTCTCTCCTGGGCAGGATTTGCTCTTCCGCCTCCGCGGGAACGTGGATTACTGGATCGGGCTGCGCAGACGGGGCGAGCGCCTGCACTGGGGGGACGGCAGCAGCTACAGCTCCAGGTGAGTGCCGGGGAGCCGGGCAGGGCCTGGGGGGACAGGGGCACAAGGTGTTCCCCTGGGAACCAGCGCTGTCTCTGTTCCTCCCTGCAGGGTTCCTGTCTTCGGCAATTCCCAGTGTGCGTACCTGGCTGAGAACAGATTGAGGAGTGAGAACTGCTCAAATGAGCGGCCGTATGTCTGCAGCAAGGCCCAAGCTGCCCTGTGACAGGGCTGCAGAAAGGACCTTGTCCACGCTGGGCAGTGCCAGCTCCAGCTGTGAGCCCAGCACAGCGCTGTCCTTCCTCAGCTGCACCCTGTGCCTTGCACTGACTCTCAGGGTCACCTCAGTGCCTGCTCATCCCCAGTGCCAGCGCTGGCCTGGTGCTCAGGGGAAAAGTCTCCAGTACATCCTGCCACCAACGCTGCCTGCAGTGAGTGGATTGCCCCTTACACAAGAAACTCAAATGGGAAATCCCAGTGCCCCTGGGCTCTTGGAAATCATCATGTACTGGATTTCCACCTCTCTGGAAGGAAACCACAAGGTGTCAGATCCATGCAGGAAAAGAGTGGAAAAATAGCAGGTGGTGGAAATCGCTGACAATTGGGATTGATTTTATCTGCCTGCGCTGCAAAGTCCAACAGACCCCGAGCACTGCCAGCCTTGTGATGTGTCCTGCCCTGCCACTGCCCTGCCTGCAGCTGCCAGTTGAGACAGGCCCTTGTCTTTAAAGGAGCTGCCCTGAGGGCCAGGTGTTGTGCTGCTGGAATAGGATGTAGAGAATAAAATAAACAGAAGCCAAGCTGCTTTGCTGTTCTTAAATCCATGGGCCCAGATGGGAACAGAGGTGGCCCAGCACAGAGCCCTGGGGGACACCAGTGGTGCCTGTCCCCAGCTGGGTGCAGCACCGCTCACCAGCACTCTCTGGGCCGCCATGCAGCCAGTTCTGAGCCCAGCACAGAGCGCTCCTGGCCCAGCCGTGGGCTGCAGCTTTTCCAGGAGTGCTGTGGGAGACAGGGCCAAAGGCATGGCTGGAGCCCAAACAGCCACAGCCACAGCCTGTCCTGCATCCACCAGGAGGTCACCTGCTCATGGAAGGAGACCAGGTTGGTCCAATGCAGGGAGTGCTGGTGTCCTGCAGGGTCGGGATGGATGGAGACGAGACATCTCTGATGTCGGGTCTTGGAATATCGAGTTTATTGCAAAGGGCGTGGGTGTGAGGGCCCTGCTTGGAGCTGCCAACTGCAGGTCAGGGCAGGCCCCAAGGAGAAGGGGCAGGCAGAGACAGAAATCGAGATAGGGACAGAGTGAGAGAGAGCAGGCGTGAGTGGGGCCAGGAGAGGATTCCAAGAGAGCAGAAGAGAAGGGGAGGGAGAGGATTCCAAGAGGGTGTCTGGTCCCCTGGGTACGCCTTATCTGGGGACTTCAGAGTGGGCTAGGATAAGACTGGGGCCAGTGGGATCACAGATACCTGATGTTTCAGGGCAGGGGTACTGATGTGGGATAAACTATACGTTTTTGAAGGGTGAGACAGAACATTCCATTTGACCCTTGGATCTGTCTGTAGGTAGAGGGCATTGTTCAATCAAAAGGGGGGATTGCATTCAAATTGTATTGATGTTCCTCCAGCTATCACCAAATATCGAGATCACTGTAATTTCATCATCACGATGGCACAGGAGGCCTCCAACCAGCACATCTCCCACCAGCCCATCTCACAACGACTAATCAAGTCCCTTCCCTGGCAGGCTCCCTCACCAATTCTGACTCCTGCACCGGGACGACGCCCTGTTCAGTTGCGCGGAGTTCCCCCTTATTTCTCAAACTCGGTCTCGCTGCCAAAATCTCCCCCGCGCTGCAGCTCTCGCCAACTTCCATCCCGGGACTCCTCCCGGTACCGTGATTGGCGCTTCCCCGTGCGCCGCTTGGCCAAAAGCCAGACTCCCATCCCAAACGGAGAGATCATAAACAGGGGTCGGTGCCGCCGCCGCCCCGTTCGAGTCCCTGCGGAGCGGCGACGGCACCGGAGCCCGGCGGGGCGGCGGCGGAGCTCGGAGGCGGCTCCGGCCCAGGTGGGACCCGCGGTCGGTCGTGCCCCAGCTCGGGGCTCGCTGCGGGCTGGGGCCGCTGCTCGGGCGGGAGGTGTCCGTGCCCGGCTCGGGGCTGCCGCGGGATGAAGCTGAACGTGCCTCAGAGCCCGAAGCGCTGCGGGCGCCGAGCGGGGGCAGAAAGCGCCGCACGCTGCCCGCTCCGGGCCGAGGCTTCTCGGCGCTGCCCTCTGTGCCAGGAGCCGCTTCACGGCCACGGGCAGGGAGCCAGAGCGGCTCTGCCGCCCGGAGCTGGGCTGCAGCGGCTGCAGAGCCACAGGGGCCGGGGCTGCGGGGAGCGCAGAGCTCCCGGAGGCTGCGCTTGTCTCCGCAGCTGCTGCCGCAGCTCTGGGAGCGGGGACAGCGCAGCCAGAGCCGGCACCGCCCTGCTGAGCCTCGGTGTGCCGCGGGGCCGGGACCAGCAGTGACCTCGCATCGTGTCCCTTTCAGGGTGCCATCACCGCCGGTGTAAAGCTGTTCCCGAGGCGATCTCCGAGAGGCTTTGTCAGCACTCCTGATGTCCTGGGAGCAAGGTGCTGTTTGTTCCTGGCAGAGAGATGAGGGCTGTGTGCTGGAGGGGAGTGAATTCTGCAGCACCCATGGCGGGGTGAATGAGTCCCTGGAGAACAGGTCAGCAACAGCGAATCCACTCAGAAGATTCCTGGGTGAGTGCAGGGCCACCCCTGTGGCCTCTAGGGAGAGGACAGTGTCCCCTCCCAGGGCTAGGGCTGGCAGTTCTGTGGCTGTTTCCCATGTCTGGAAGAGGTCTCGAGCTCTGCTGGGCCCCAGCAGTGGCTGGAACCAAGAGCCCCAGCTGCCCCCAAGGCTGTGCAGGACTCCTGCTGCAGCCTGTCCCCACAGCTGTGTCCCTGGCTGTCCCCACAGCCGTGTCCCTGGCTGTCCCCACAGCTGTGTCCCTGCCTGTGCCCAGCTCTTGGCTCTCTGGCTGCCAGCTGAGTGAGGGGCACAGTGGCTGAGGGGTCCCTCCTGTGCTCCCTGGGCACGGGGTGAGCAGATTGCAGGGCCGGGTCTGGCTCTGGCAGCCAGCAGCTCTTTCCTGCTCCAGGTGAATGGTTCAGCTCCCATCCCGTGCTCACGGCAGTGCTGATTCTGCTGCTCCTGGTGCTGGTGCTGGCTTTGGGGGTGGCCTTGGCTGTGCAGTCAGGTAAGGGAGGGGCAGCAGGCTGGGCCCAGCCCCTCGGGGCAGAGCGGGGTCCCTGCTCCCTGCAGAGGGGAATCCTCAGACCTTCTTCTCCTCTTCCCCCTCCAGCACCACAGGTTCCAGTCACACCTGCGACTCCACAGTTGGTTCTGGGCTGTCCCCATAGCTGGGTTGGGTCCAATGGGGTCTGCTACTACTTGTCAAGGGATTACAGGAGCTGGGAGCAGGCTCAGGAACGGTGCTCCGAGCTCGGGGCCTCCCTGGCCATTCTCAAGGATGAGGCCATGGTGAGTGAGGGGCTGCGGGCGGTGTGGGGTGGCTGAGGGGAGCCTGGGGGTGCTCCTGGGCCGGGCTGGGTGCTCGTAGGGCTGGGGGTGCAGCCCTGTGCCGGGGCCTTGCAGGGAAGGAGCCCCGGCGTGCGGGGGCAGCCCCGGGCCCGTGTCCCCCCGAGGGGCCGGGGCAGCTCCCACTCCTCTCTCCTGGGCAGGATTTGCTCTTCCGCCTCCGCGGGAACGTGGATTACTGGATCGGGCTGCGCAGACGGGGCGAGCGCCTGCACTGGGGGGACGGCAGCAGCTACAGCTCCAGGTGAGTGCCGGGGAGCCGGGCAGGGCCTGGGGGGACAGGGGCACAAGGTGTTCCCCTGGGAACCAGCGCTGTCTCTGCTCCTCCCTGCAGGGTTCCTGTCCTTGGCAATTCCCAGTGTGTGTACCTGGCTGATGATAAATTCAGGAGTGAGATGTGCTCAAACGAGCGGCCGTATGTCTGCAGCAAGGCCCAGGCTGCCCTGTGACAGGGCTGCAGAAAGGACCTTGTCCACGCTGGGCAGTGCCAGCTCCAGCTGTGAGCCCAGCACAGCGCTGTCCTTCCTCAGCTGCACCCTGTGCCTTGCACTGACTCTCAGGGTCACCTCAGTGCCTGCTCATCCCCAGTGCCAGCGCTGGCCTGGGTGTTCAGGGGAAAAGTCTCTGCAACACATCCTGCCACTGATGCTGCCTGCAGTGAGTGGATTGCCCTCATTGAAACATGGCTGACTCTTTGAAATTTTTATAGAAGTTTGTTAAGGGATAAATTCCTGTGCTGAGGTGCGTGGCTATTTGCATATGGTTTACTTAAACTATGTTCTTATTGTACTGTTATGTTATAGGCCTATATGCATATTCATGCGTTTGTACATACTCAAACATTGTTTGAGTTTAGATGTTCTTTTGCTTGGTTTTAACCTTTGACTTGTCTTCACGCTTTCTTGTATATTAAACTAATACAATTTTTTCTTGTGATTCTATCTTGTTGTATTTTCACTCTCTGATAACAAGGATCAATAAATTCTTTTTTTGGATGCCCTGATTTCTGTTTCAATTTTCTTGTCTTTCAGATAAGATAGTTCCTGAATGTGGGAAATCAATGATTTTACACCATTTTCTGAGTTAGTTACATGATAAAATAATTTCAACACTTCACAGTCTCTATTATGCTATGGTCTAAAATTATATTACAATGCTATTTATTAATAAGCTATATGGTGCATATATTATACTATATCAAAAGTAGTAATTACAAATTGTACTATATCAGCATTTTTGTGATCAGTAATAGCTTGCGAGACAAAAGTTAATAGATAAATGCGAAAGCCAATAACTGCATTTGTTATTTACAACATTACACAACAAGCTCAACTGGGAAATCCAAATCGCCCTGGGCTCTTGGAAATCATCACAAACTGGCCTGCAGGTGAGACTTTTGCACTGTCCTTTGAAGATGTGAGAAATGAGCCTCAATTTCAAAATTTTACAGGTTTGTTAAATATTGGATGCTCCAGTATAGAGAACAGGACTTGCCCTGGCTTGTCTGCCCCTGCTGCTGCATCAGTGGCGGCAGCTGTGGTGTTTCACCCCAGAGACACTTTTGGCTAGCTGGATGTCACAGCTGGGCACATGGAGACACGTCCAGGCAAGCTGGAGCTCAGGTGGCAGCGGGATGGAGCTTCCCTCGCAGAGGGTCGCTCCTCAGGTTTCCCTCCGCTGGAGAAGCTTTAAGGCTACGGTGAAGGAAAGGAGTTGGTCGTGATGGAGACTTTAATCCAGAGTTTTCATTCTGGCCCGCAGGCCTCTGAATGCAGCAGCAGCTCCAAGCAGAACTCCGAATGCAGTCACTGCTCCATCAGAACTTTTTGGACTGTGTGGCTGCTCGCCTTTTTCCTCGAGGAGGGGAGGAGGGAAGGGATAGGGAGCCACCAACCAGCTATGGGAGAGGAGGTCTCAGGGGAAAAAGGACACCTGGATGCCTAATGCCCCCCGGGGGTGGCAGGCATCTTCTGAACCTGCCCAATCCCTGACACACTTCTGGAATGGCAGGAGTGACAGACACTGCTGGCAGGAGTCAGGGTGGGGAAAGGAGGAGTGACTGACACACCTGGGGGGACACCTTCAGGGGAGGAACCAGGGGTCCTGGGGTAATCCATGAAATCACACCGCAACAGTTAAACCTTAACAAAAAAATACAACAATGGACTGAATAAGGGAAAATTACAGCACTGGGGTCTCTGTGGCTATCAGCCATGTGCCCATTTACAAAATGGGTGCTCTGCCTTTTATACCCTCAGCCCCTCCCAAAGCTGTGTCAGTGAACCCTTCTCTGCCGTGCACTGGTGCAGATCACTTCCTTACATCTCGACTGGAGCTCAGGTGCTGTCCTGTCGCCCCTCCTGGTTATAACCCAGCCCTCCCCAAATGCCCTGGCAGTTTGTCAGGCCATGGTCCCTGGTCCCTGACCGGGAATGTAAGTGCTGGGATGAAGATCTCACCTCTTGGGCATCCAGACCCCGTCGAGTCCCTGCAGCTAAACCAGCCCAAAGTCTCTCTTACCTTCTGCTGCTCTCAGGAGGGAAAAGCAAAGCAGACAAAAGCATCCCCAGACCGCCTGCGGATCCATGGTGGGCTCCGGGAGGCAGGGCAGGGAGGGGGTGGGAGAGAGGCAAGATCAGCAGTGTCCGGGGATGGGGCCCGACCGGCTCCCTGTCCCCGCCTTACCCAGGCAAAGGCAAATAATTAAACCTCTGTGCCAACCCCCAGCAGCCGCGGGGCCTTTGGAAATCAGCTGAGGTTTGCCCAAGGCCGGCGGCAGGGGAGGGAAGCTGGAAGAAAAAAAAAGAGCTGCCAGAAGCATTGAGGGGTGGAGGAGCTGCTCCTTTGTCCTGACACGGGAGGGGGATGCTCAGAAAGCTGCTCTGTCTTTCGGTGATCGCTCTCTTCCCATCACGGGAGAAAAGGCAGTTCCTTTCAAAAGAAAAGACCCAGAAGGGGGAAGGGGGGAAACAGCTTTTCCATCCTTTTAGCTGCAGACTGGGATTTGCAGCCTGAAGCCTCAAGTTACTTAAAGGGCCAGGCTGGAGGGGATGGGGAGCACTGCTACCCCCAGAAAGAAACGGGAAAGGGCTTAGGAAATCCATCTCTAAATCCCTTGGCACACTAACCATACAGTATTTTTAAAAATGCCTGAACTTTCTGGTTGCTGAATTTAACTATTTTCTAAAGACACCAAAGTAAGGGGTGGTGATGCAGCTCAGGGTCCTGGGAAAGCTTTTGCTAAAAAGAATGGGGGGTGGAAAAGGGAGGCACTTCATGTGTCCTTCTGGAAGTGATCTGCATATTGCAGTGGGATCTTACAATAGCACATAAAGAGAGGGGGAAGCCCTTTAAGACCAGGAACAGCGGTGTTTGCCCTCAATATTAACCTTGAGATTTTGAAAATAAGGCTCTCTCTCTCAATTCAAATGCATAGATCAGCATGGCAAAGGTATTCTCCTTCCATTTCAACATGAAAATAATGGGAAACGGTGATTCCCAGTCAACTGAAACACTCAAAATCATGAAAAAGGTGTGCTTTCCTTCAATTGAAACCCTTCAAATTGTCGGCTAATGGGGATCCTCCACAATTCAAACCCAGGCAATTATGGAAAAGGTGTTGTTTCCTTTAATTTAATCCTTTTTTCTCCTCATAACCCCCCTTTTTGGACGCCACTGGGGCAGGACTGGGGGCACTTCTCTCTCCTCAGTGGTCACACCTGGGGCTGCTTCATGTTAGAGGATGAGGGGAAGCTCCGTTTAGTGCCGGGAAGGAGCAGGAGAAGCTCTAGCGGGAGCGAATCCCGTTGGGAAGACGGGGCTTGAGCCGGCTGCGTGTCCCATCTCTGGCCCCGACCTCCAGAAGGCAGCGAGGAGGCACCAGGGAGCTGGAGGAGCCCCGAGTGAGGAACCAGGTGGGAATGAAATGAAACAGAACAGGATAAGGATAAGGAAAGGATAAGGCGCTGAAAGAGCGGCACGGGAGAGGCTGGGAGGTGTGAAGGGAATAAAACACAGAGGATGGTGTAAAATGGCATAAAAGCACTGCACCAGCAGTGGCCGGTCATCGCTCGGTGCTGGCGGCGTTTGCAGAGCCGAGGGATGGATGGGCTGAGTCCGGCCCGGCTGCGCCTTTCGGGACCAGCACCTTGGTATTTTATTCCCACAATCTTCCGGGATAAGGAGGGATGTTTCTCTCGCAGTAGCTCGTGCTGCATCTCCCTGTCCTTTCCCCCGTGGGCAGCAGCCCCGTATGCCGGTTTTCCTTTATCTTGAGACAAACCCCCAGTGTCCCCAGCCCTCGGTCCCTCCCCGGGCCGGGTGTCCCCAGTCGCTGTCGGGCTGTGGCGGGGGCAGGAAGCTCCGGCCCCGCCACCAGCTCGCACCACACCGGGCCAGCACCAGCGGGCAGAGATGCTTTGGCTTCCTGTCCCCTCCCCCGTGTCCCCAACCCGGTGCCACCACCCCCGTGTCCTCAGCCTGTGTCCCCCCGGCTCTGGTGACACATGGAGGACGAAAACGGCTACGTGATCTTAGACCGAGGGTACAAGCGGGGCTCTGCGGGGAGGTCTTCACCCCGGCAGGGTGCAGGTATTGGGGTCGTGTCCGCTGGTCCCCTCCCGATCTTTGGGGGAGAGGAACTGGAGAGGGGTGGGTGCAGGCTGAAGTCACCCAGGAGTCGCCAAGAGCTGCCCAGGGTGGGGAAACTGAGGCATGGCTCAAGGGAGGCAGGTCTGGAGGGGTTTTCTTGATGCTGTTGTTGTCTGCTGTCCCATCTCCCCAAGCCGTGACCCCAAAAGATGGACCAGAGGGGGTTTTTGGGGTCACCCAACTCCTCGTGCGGGGGTGGGGTCTCATTGAGTTGCTTTGCCCCAGGACTTCCTGCCTTGGGCTCTGGGGGTTTGGGAAGGCGACAGGTGCTCCCGAGCCTGCTCTTTTTTCCATATTCTTTTCCTGGCTGCAGGGTATGGCTTTCAAGGATCCCAGAGGGTCCCCGCAGCATCCCCCTGCTGTTCCCACCGTCTCAAGGCCCTGACGGCTGCCCTGGTGATGTCCCTCATGCTCTGCCGTGAGTTTGCGGGGTGGCAGAGGGCTCCGGGCACCCCTTCCCACCCCACTCCCGATTTCCCTGACCGGGCTGGGCACCCCCCTCTCGCAGTCTCCTGGTGGGTGGCACAGCAGTGCCAGCCCAAGGGGACCACAGGTTACGGGAACGCCTCGCTGGGAATTGCCCATTCGGACTGGGATGCCATCTTCAGGGAGATGCGGAGGATCCTGTGCCCGCCCCGAGGTAACGCACCCCTCGGGGGGCTGCTTAGAGCCTCCCCCCAATAAAGGGAGGCCGGAGATTCCCTCCGGCCCCGCAGCGCTGCCTCAGCCCCGTGTGCCCGCAGAGAGCGAGGGATGCCGGCTGTGCGCCGTGGGCTGGGTGCTGATCGGGGCCAAGTGCTACTGGATTTCCGATGGGATGAACCCCTGGAACAAGAGCCGGGAGGACTGCAGGGAGCGGGGCTCCGCGCTGCTGGTGCCCTGGGATCAGGATGAGCTGGTGAAGGAAATGGTGGCGCTGGGGATGTGGGATGCAGCTGCACCCGCGGGGCTGGTGCTGCCAGAGGGGCTGGATGCACCCATGGAAGGCTTCCCAAAATCCTGTGTTCAGTCCCCCCGCTGTGTCCAAGCCCCCCCGGGTGCCTGTGGCAGAGTGTGGGGGACACGGGTGGGGCTCATTGCCGGGATGAGGACAGAGGCAGTTTTGGGGTGACCAAAACAGCGTCATCACTTCTCCTTTCCCGGGCCAGGAATTCCTGAATGAAAGCCTGCGGAAACCCACACGGCACTTCTGGATCGGCCTCTCGGTGCCTGTGGCTGGGATGGGCTGGACCTGGGAGAACGGCTCCGACCTCGACCAGGACCGGTGAGCGCCCGGGGGAGCGCTGGGGGTCAGGAGGGCACCCCATTGTCCCCCAGGGACCCCCGGGGTGACACGGGCTCCTTCCTGTCACC